GTTTTGGTGAAAATTCGGTTTTCATTTTTTTTCATACATACATTCATATTTCATTTATTATTATGTAAAATTAAAGAAAACAGCACTAAAAATGTATTCAGTTTACAAAGTTTTAATCATGTTATGAAAAAAGTCATAAAAAATTTTAATAATTTGAATTCCAACGCATTTTAAATAAATTCATAAAAAATACATTTTTTATATATATATATTTGACTCGCTCATCTAGAAGGCTGGGCAAAATTGGCCTAACACTAGTACTAAAATATCGTGTATAAAAGTTGTAAAAAATCAATATATTTTAACAATGTAAAAATACACGCATATTTTGTTTTAAATAATACGCCCAGACACAAACAATTCAACAATATTGGTTAACTAATATCATGATGACCATTGGCTGTTGATTTGTGGAAAATCTAATGACTAACGTATTGGAAGATTTAATTACATTTGACCAAGGTATTTAAGTTATTTTATGCCACTGAAGGCAAATACTACCTACTGTCTTAGTCTTTGCTTAATTAATGTGATGCAATTGATTCATTTTGACAAATTGCATTTTTCATACATTTTCAACATTACAAAAATAATAATTTCAATAAAACAGGTAAACAAATTAAAAGAAAAAAATATTTGAATTTTTTTTAACAACTATTGCATGAACTTTGTTGTCATGTGTGTGTTGTCCGGAAAAAAGACCGGCTGTAATTAAATTTTCATGCCAGTGTCAAGATTTAGTGCTTGTTTGAGTACCTCGTATGTAGAAAATGAGACAGCGACCATCGGTATTGCACGCAAGTAATTAATTGACATTCCACGATACAGACCTCGTACAATACCATTTTCATTGTAAATGTGCTTGAGTGTCGTGACCATTCCAACTCTGAAACAAACATTTATTAATGTGATATATTGAGTTTGTAGCCAAAAAACATAACAGGATTATAATGTAATTATATTTTGTTGTAAATAAGCATGAAACTTCAGCATAAAGAAAATTGAATTTTTTTTAAAATAACGTACCCAAATCGAGCCGTTGCTGGATCCATCATAGCCAATTGCATTCTTCTTCTCGTCACATCCAAGGGATACGAAAAAGATTGAGCTATTGCACCAGCTAAACCTCCGGCTAAAAGTTTGGCAGGAATATTTAAAACTAGGCCACCTGAAAATTTAAATTTGAAAAATTAATTTCCGAATCGAACATTTGGTCTGGATATGTTAATATTTTGTTTTCTTTTTCTTCGCCTACCTGTATTTTTATCGCATTTGTTGCAACTCCATTGTGGTGAGTATTTCATGCAAAGGAATTTCACACTTTCAAAGCAATAAAAACTGAAACCGGCATATGGAACCATACCGGTTAGAGTTGGAACAAAGCCACGATACAATCCACGAATACCACCTTCCTGCAAAGTAATACAAATGAAGAAAAATATCATTAGCGTGATTGTGTCTCCGTTTATAATAGAAAATTATTACATTTTTTATAACTGAAAGAGCTGTGTGTACGATGCCTGCATATTTATGTTCACCGGTAATTTGGAACGCAAGTCTTGCTCTGATTGTGTCCAACGGATAGGTCAATGTCACCTGATCAAAATAAAAACAATCAAAAAAAAAACATGACGGTCAATTTAGTGAATTAATTTCAATTGAATTGAAATATTTACGGCTGTAACGCCAGCGCCAGCCCCAGCGATGAATTTATCCGAGTTTTTGATGAGTCTATTGGTTGGTATCAATGTTCCAACATACTGTAAACAATAAAATGCATTACAATAAAGTAGGAACAATGGGATGTGATGTGTTGAATATGATTTTATTTCAGTTATTTTTTGCTTACTCTTTTGTAAAATTCAAATGCGGTAAATTGTGTTGCTGCATATGGAAATATTCGAACCATTTGAGCGCTATTGCCTTTGTAAAGTGCCCATAATGATTCTCTGCGTACGATATGTCGAAGGCCACTGAACACACCCAAATGTTTATAGTGATTTGAATGCGCTTGCAGCAAAATTTTTATCCGATCTAATGGTGCTACTGCAGTCTTTGAACACATACCAGCTACACCTGTTGAATTAAAGCATAAAAATATTCAATGAATACAATGCGCGAATTTTTTTTCATTCATTATTCAATTGTATGATAGGTAATTATTGGCTTAAGTCAAATGACTTTGAGCAATCATGTGCTCATCTTCGTTCAATGAATCGAAATATATTTATGTGAAAATGCAAAACTCAAATACAGATCCAAATATTATTGAAAAAATGAAAGCAAACCATTTAAGCATTACTTGTGTACTCGTCGCCGATACTTTAAAGGTTATTTATCTCTGTATTAACACTATAGCATTCATCTTTATTTCTGGCTTCGGACAAGCCATGAATGAAACACGAAATCTCAATTCACTCCATTTCAAATGAAGCACTGCATAAAATTTCCATTAATATTTTGTTTACAACTTCAAGTTTCAGTCGAATTTTACATCAGAATAAGAAGCTATATTACCATTTGTCCAGATTTTGAACTTTCGAATTAATCTTTCATCATCTTTTATCTTGCATAATCATTTGCATAAATCATATACATTAATAGTACAGTGAATTCCATTCAAACGGATACGCATATCTGATATGAAGGTTTTGTTGATTTGCAAATGTGGTGCATCAACATTTGGCTCCGATTCATTTTTGATAAAAGAGAATGTTTAAAATGAATGAGTACGGCTATCGATTCCCGATAAACACCATTAGTTAATCTTTTGTTTGTCATTAATAATTGATTAAACAAGGAGTACATTTTTCTGATTTGCGTTTTGTTTGCAAAAAGATACGATTTGTAGCCGCCATGAAGAGAAACCTTCTGATTAGAGCAAAAATAAAATAAACAGCACTATCTGCTCAAATGTGAACAATGAAAACTGCGTGCAAGTCATAGACTGTAAATATTAATGTAATCGATAAACAAACAACTACACAACGGCAACAATAGCAAATACGATCGTCTTGCTTTTAGCCATTCAGTTGATTCTCTTTTTGTCTGCTCCGTTCGCTGGTTTGGTAAAACTCCATTATATCATTTTCTTCTTATTGAAAAAAAGAAAGTTTTTTTTACCTATTTATTGGACGTTCGAAAGAATTAGTAGTTGATTTTTATTACCTTACCGATTGATGGATCGCACATATGTGTATTAACAGAGCCCAATGAATCGAGATGCACAGGAGCTTCATATGTTCATGTGTGTGCATTACTTTTTTTCATCGCTGTCTTTCTCTTTCTTTTTGTTTCGGTTGTTTATGTAAAATATTTCATTTATAGCAAGTGATCACATTTGAAACGAAAACAAAAAATCCGAAAGCAGACATACGATTCAGCGATTACAACGCTTAAATTCACTCAAATCATTTAACCATAAAACATAAATCGTTATTTAAAGGGGGTTTTATGCAAAAACCAAAATATCGCAATCCGGCATTAAATTAATTCAAAAATGTCCGTGAACATTTTGTGAAATGTAAATGTTAAGTACATGACACATGATGGTTATCACCAGCACAATTTTTTGAAAGCTTTTTGATTGTGTAGAGGTTATAATGAATCATTCGCGTTTAGGGTGATTAAGGTCTAATTATAAAAAATATTTGAGGTAACAACATATTCTGTGAAATTTGTGCGTAATTTGGCCAAACAAAAGAAGTAAAATGTTAATTGGTAAATGTTTCCGCTTAATGAGAATGGATGCGATGATCGTTTTGAAAACCGGTCAACCATCATGATGTGGCAAGTTACCACATAGCTCATTAAAATCCAAGCCTCTACTAATGAATTACCATATCATAAGTCTCATTTGAGTCGATTTGAATTCCATCAAATTGACCATACTATCTATTTTCTGAATTGCATAAAATAATTTGTCCATTACTTACCTCCAGCTAGCAAATTTCGGGCGACAAAATTATAGTTTGTCTTTGAGGTCTCTTGTGTTAATGCCATTATTATTATTTAAAAGTAATATTGTATGTCGATAACAAACAAATGACGAAAATCAAATCTACACCAAACTTGTGAAAAAGTAACGTTTTGTTTAAGAAAAAAATAACTTCAGCAATTCATTGCTTTGGTCAAATTCAATTTTCAAAATAGTCCGTTCCACAATACGCGTATTATTTTGATCACAATTATGGAAAACACTCCGATGAACTTGCCTACTTCTGTATATGCTTGAACAAGACGTATACAAAAATTCAATTCAACGAAATTCATAGGAAGCGTAAAAATGAAAACTTTCACTTTTTCTGGCACACAAAATTCAAATATGCTTTTATATTTAACTATACAATGAAGAGTCTTTGTATCGAAGAAAGCTATGATTTATCATTTCTTTGTGAATATTTATTAGGCGGGTGGTTTTTTTTTTCAATCAACAATTTTTAACCGTTTATTTTTTTTTTTAAATAGTTATTTCGATTTTAAACGAATAATAAAACTAGCACAAAATTTGATTGAAGAAATAAAATGAAATGTTTTGGCTTGTAATCAAATTAGAAAAGAATAATAAGTTCAAATCAAATTGGACAGAAGTTAGAACACGAAAGCCAAATTCACACAATCAAACAAATAATGTTAGACGAAACAAAATAAAATTGCTGGGTGTTACGAGCAATCAACACAAACTGTTTTGACCGTACCATTGAATGGCCTGTAAGGTGAGACTTGTTGCGATGTCAAAATCAAAACAGCAACACCGTCGAAGTCGTTTATATGAATAGCTAAATCGTTGTTTGGTTGCTCGTGTGCGTGTTGTTCAAATGTGTGAACAAATTAATCGCATTCAATTAATACTGAATCGCGTCCAAAGATGGCGGTATTTCATAGCTTACCTCGATTATGTTCTGCATTCCTGTTTCCAGCTTAACTGATCAATTCAATATCCAAATGAAAATTCAAGTATTTTATGGAAATGTATGATTTAACAAAGAACAATTTTCTATTTATTTGTCTTCTCTTACAATTAATTTATTTTGATTTTCATTCTCTTATTTCAATGATTATGATCATTTATGATTTTGTTTTCTTCATGAATTTTTTATTTTTTGGGTATTATATCTAATAACAAGGTATCAACACTGCTGATATACTATACTGAAAATGCGCAAACATAAAATGAATATAGCAAGTTGCTATTAGCAACAAATGTTAGTTAATAAAAATTTTCAACTCTTTTGGTGTGAATTCTTTGAGATTGATCGGTGCTGCTTTGCGTGCTAAATGTTTTCGAGCTGATTTTTGTTCTTGTTCTTCGTTTCGCTTTTGTTGGAATTGTGGAGGTTTTTGGGAAGCCGGCAACCATTTTTCGATTTCTAACGGAGACAATCTTTCGAGTACCACCTTAAGTTTTGCTTCTCTGTTTTCTTCCATTTTCGTTGCTTTTTCGATTTTTAATTTCGATGTGCCGTTCGACATTGATTTTTCCTTTTTAATGGACGATGCTACTTTTTTCAATTGCAAATACTTTAGCAAATCACCCGAATCGTTGCTCTTTGGATTTGATCTGCGCTGGCGTTTCGGTGCATTTTTCGTTATCGGTACGATGATTTCTCGATTCACTGTTGCATTTCTTTGAATCGATGTGTTTATCTCCATTGTCATTTGTTCTGGAACATTTTCAACGGCATTCATTTGTGGCAATTCGTTATTGCAATTTACAAATGGTGCAGTCAAATTGTGAATTTGTTGCAAAATGTTCTTCAACGAACGATTTTCTTCTAATAACATTTTTTTTGTTACTTTTGGCGGCATTTTTGCTTGACAATTTTTGTGTGCGTCTTATTTATTTTTATTTTTTTTTTTCGTTCGCTTCTCGACTTGTGATATGCGTTCAGCAGTCGGCTCCACTCAATTCTGAATTGGAATCGCTATTTTTTCAAGAATTCCGTTAGGTTTCGCTTGCGTTGCAATTATTATTGTGTTTGTGGCCTGGTAAACACATGCATGTGTATATGTTTTGAAAATATACAAAAATCGCGGCAAATATACTTTTCTTGCTTTTAAACAACGATTAAAAAAATGTGTTGCGCTGACAACACTAAAATCCATGACAGTCGAATATGTTGTGGTGTATGTATGTTTTGTGCAGCGAACTTTGGTGTCTTGCCCCATACACACTCACAGTATGTATGCGGCGAATTTTGCAAATGGCCACATGGTACGATACATACGGACTTTGCGTTGACATTTCACAGGAAATAGAAAAAATGTCGACCATATTTGCTTGTGTATTGGTTGGTAGTGTGTGTTAACTAATGTTCGATGATTGAAACACCGAATAATATACTGAAGCGCCATCATCAGAAAGATCTTCTTGGTGCGACAACCATTTCAATCACATGTGAGTAGCTAAATCATCTTTGAAAATATTCCATTTTTTCGATTTAATTTTAAACTAATTATTTTAAATTGTGTAGATAAAAATTGTGTGTTGCCAACAAATCGATATCTGTAATTATTCATTGTGTTTTATCAAAAAAATTTAACAAAAAATCCGCTTTCTTATGCTTAATGTTCGAGTGAACAACTGTTCGGTCGTTCTACATGGAATTAGTTCAATTGGTTACAAAAAAATGCGGTGTGAAGGAACTTCATTTCCAATTCGCTGTATTCGCGTGGCCATAGATCCGATATACATTTCAAACAAAAAATATCGAGTAAAATGCAAAAAATTTGGCATTCTAAAATGCATATCGTCCAAAAAAAATGCAATGCAAATAAGTGACTTAGAAGTAGATCGTATTGTGTATTTATTTTTCATTCTTTCTGGAAGAAAGGCGTGCAATTCCCTGCCATAGATTCGCAAAGAAAAATAAAAAAAAACACTGACATGCGTGGCCAATTAATTGATAAATTGGTGACAAAAAATCCGGAAAACATTTTTTTTTTTAATTTTCAACGATGAAATTTAAAGCCAGTCTTTTTCTTTTTCAATTTTTGATTTCGCCCATCTCCATAATTAAAACTGAAACGTTTCGAAATACGGTTTCGAAGATGTCATCGCCTTATATATAATAATCATAATAATTAATATTCCGTTTGTTCATCGGCATATATCTAAATCATAATCGAAACAATAGAATGCATTTTTATTTTTTTCTTCAAATTTTCATTTCGAAATGAGAAAAAAACGGGCTAGCTATCTTTATTGGTTAGAAATCTCTTGACGGAATGTCTTTGTTGAATATTGTAAATGTGGTCGCCCGTTTGCTTGCATAAAATTAAGTGTGTGTCATCCTTCTATCATGAGCAAATGTGAATTGTGTGCGTTTCAGTGTGTTTGTACTTGAATTCGGTTGAATACATTGTTGATTCGCAGCTATTTTGCCAGGCGGTCGTCTGTATGGGATATAGTATTTGTCGTCATTTTCTTCAGTTGTTTTGCATTTTCATAGTGTTGTTCTCGACACATAAAAAAATACAGTAATATACGTACAATTCGTATTTCATGAAACAACAATAGCTACGACAATAACAACAATAACAACAGCGACAACAACATTACTTTGCAGCGAAGTCACAGCTCAACAAAATTTCATGACCGAAACCTTTTTCTTGCATTTGTATTGGTTTGCGTTCCGGCATTTTCTTGTACACGTCGAAATAAGTATGAAATATAGATGGATGTGTGCATAGGTATGGACAACCCAAACACGTTTCCTTTGCTTATTTCGTTTGTCATATAGTTCGCAAAAGCGAATACACAAACAAATCAAAAATTAAATGAAATTTAAACAATTTTTTGCTGTAACTTTCGGTGGTCATTCATATCACATTTGATTCAAGCTTTGAATGAATGATTTAATCGTGGCATTTTGGCGATAGCTTCTTTTTAAATTTAACCATAATTTTTGCAATTTATTTTGCGTACTATCTCTTTCTATTTCTATATTGTATTTATTTTTCCAACATTCAATCGCACCACATATACATAGCGAATACACAAACAAATCAAATCCAAGTATACGACGAAGTTGTGATAAAATACGTTGAAAATCTTTCGAACAAACGTAAGGCACTTAGAAGAAGAAGAGAATCGAAATGAAATGAAACGCACATTTTAGTGTTGCTGCTGTCTTAAAAATATGTTTGTACACCAATACTGTTCAAGGTGAATTTTTGCTGACGTAGTGAATCTGTCTGTTTCGACATCCACTCCACAAGCACAATATGTTATTTCAAATCAATCTTGTCAAAGTGATAACTCCTCTATTCAACAATTTCTTTTAATCGGTAATTGATTTCTTCGATTTTTTTTCTGTTCAACTCTATTATCGAATATTTTTTCTTGTTGTCATTCTATAAACTTTGCTTACATTTTGTGAAATTCAAATTGAATTTTTGTTCATCAAATTGAGTGCACAACAAGTAATGTTTTGTTGTAGGCAAGTAGTGAATTTATCACTTTTTGTATCATTTCACCCTCAAAATTTTAAGGTTAAGCAATATTACGACGAAAAAGCGATTTACTCATTTCGCCAATGTTATTTGCATATATGTTTCTTGGTCGCGTGATTGTGTAGGTATAGGTCTATAATTCCTCACGTTTTCGGCCCATAAATTTTAGCTATGTGTTATTATTGGTCGGAAATAATCCATGTAAAACCATGTAGTAATGGCAACGCGAATGCATCTTACCCCACTTTTATTAAGCCGGCTACTTTAATTGTTATATCCGTATTAAGGCAGTGTGCTTCGGGTGGGAACAGTAATTCTGGTTGTGTGTATGGAATAAAATTTATCAAATGTTTTATTTCAAAGAAAATTTATCAGAAACACAATATTTTTTTTACATTTTTTTTACAATTTTTTTTGAAAAGTGTTCTGTTCTGAAGGTTTAATCATAAAAATAAGTAATATTGAAACAACCATTATGCTTTACAAAAAAAAATCCAAAAATCCGTTTTTTGAAAATACACTGCTCAAGAGTGAAAATTCGGTTTTCATTTTTTTCATAAATACATTCATATAGTATCTATCGAAGAAAAGAGCCACCAAATAGCCATCTTTATTTCATATCCATTTATGAACGCGAATGCATCTTACCCCACTTTTATTAAGCCGGCTACTTTAATTGTTATATCCGTATTAAAGCAGTGTGCTTCGGGTGGGAACAGTAATTCTGGTTGTGTGTATGGAATAAAATTTATCGAATATTTTATTTCAAAGAAAATTTATCAGAAACACAATATTTTTTTATACATTGTTTTTTTTTTTAAATATTGTTAAAAGATGTATTTTTATTTAAGAAAATATTTTCATTCGATGATATTGATTTAAAATTAGTTTTACTAATGGTTTTTTTTTGTTTTTGTTTCTTTCATTTACCAATGCTGCGGAATCTATCGATTGAAAATGTCATAAACAAAATAGATTTGGAACTACCGCCCCAACATCAGCTTTTTGAGAAAGTCATTGTTTCTATTTTTTGTTGAACTTACCAGTTACGATTTAAATTCATCATTATGGCCGATTTAGAGGACGCACATTTCGAGACTGGTGACTCCGGTGCATCAAGTACTTTCCCAATGCAATGTTCAGCATTGCGAAAAAACGGTTTCGTCATGTTGAAAGCACGTCCATGCAAAATTGTAGAAATGTCAACATCAAAAACCGGAAAACACGGACACGCTAAAGTCCATATGGTCGGCATTGACATCTTCAACGGCAAAAAGTAAGTAAATTCATAATGGATCAAATAACAGTGAATATATTCGCTTGAAATTTGTTTATAAATATTTGAATTTCTTCATCAGATACGAAGATATCTGTCCATCAACTCACAACATGGACGTCCCACACGTCAAACGTGAAGATTACCAATTGACTGACATCAGCGATGACGGATACTTGACTTTGATGACCGACGGTGGTGATCTTCGCGAAGATCTTAAGATTCCAGATGGCGATTTGGGCACCCAATTGCGTTCTGATTTCGATGCTGGCAAAGAATTGTTGGTATGTATCATTTCTTCATTAAATCATGATTTGTTGCAAACAATGGAACTGTAAAAAAAAACATTGCGCATTCTATATGCAATAACAATAACAATACATTCGTTATCTGAGCTAACTTTTGTATGTTGCTGTTCTTGTTAAACGTTGATAACAAACACCATCATCATAATACCAAAATGTTGATTAATTAACATATCTCCTTTCGTTTTCGATTTTCATTTTTTATTTTTCAGTGCACCGTACTCAAATCGTGTGGAGAGGAGTGTGTTATTGCTGTTAAGACAAACACTGCTCTTGATAAATAACTGAACGAATAGAGCCTTCAATTTCAAGCTCGTCCCGCCACAATAAATAAATTTATAACAACAAGAAATTTATTAAAAAACAATAAAAAAAACAAAATTCAATAAAATTTATTGCATACCATACACAACAAAACAACACCATGTTCTTAAATTATTAAATGAAGAAGACAAAAATGAATTCTTTGAGACATTGAGTCAGCAATATTTAAAAACAATTGAATGTTAAATGTATATACGCTAATGCGTACACAACATACACTCACACATAGATATTTAAAAAAAAAAACAAAACAATAAGGATCAGAAGAACAGCAAGAATCGAGATTTCATCAAAGAAATTCATTCGCAAGGAAAATTCTTAGCACACAAATTTAATATAAATAAATGAAATAGCTAATGAAAAACAAACAATCGAACATCTTTTGGACGAAAAAAAAAACAACAAAAATACAATACTAAAAACGAAAACAAATAAAATAGTAAAAAAAATGTTAGGAAAATCATCGATATAATTTCTCATCGTTGATCTGGCAGTTGTGCATGCATAATCTTAACAGAAGCCGCATTTATAAGTTGATAGGGAAAAAAATTATGGCTAATTAAAACAAAAACAACAATATGCAAGTTAAAATAAACTAATGAATCACACATATTAATATACATGCAAAATACATCAGCATACTCAAAATAATCGACACAAATTCTAACCATTTCATCAAAGAGATGACCAAAAAGAAAAACAAAAACTCAAACAATTAACTAACAGAAACCGAAGTAAACAAAAAAAAACAGTTTTTTTGAAAGACCTTGTGTTTACGCCAGGGAATTTCCATTTATATTGAATTCTAATAAATGGCTTTCACCGAAATTCAGTAGTGCTTTAGCTCTACAATTGTTCTCCGCGGATTTTCTGAGTTGATTTTTAATTTAATCAGCAGTTGAACTGTGTTGATCGTTTTCCTTTACTGAATTTCGTAAAAAGTCATGAATAATAAATATAGTCTCATTTTTTTTAAATGAACATTTGTTTTTTTTTTCTTATCTCTTTCTCTATCCCACACACACACACACACACCAGCCCTTGATCTTTTCCACATTATTACTCATTTGAATTGAATGCCAAAATTTAAATTCACAGAAGTGAAGAAATATAAATTGACACAATTAAAAAAATGTACGAGTTTAGACATAAAAGTTCTGAAATGAGATTGAGTTATTGATTAAAGTTATTTGTAATTTTGGATTTATGCGTAAAAAAACAAAATGAATAAAATGAAAATCGCAAGCCAAACAATTACAATAGCTAACGATAAATTTTTATAAAGAACCAAGCAAATGTAACCAGAGGAAGAAAAATATCTAATGAATGGTTAAAGATTTGGATGGATTATTCTCTTATTTTTCCTCTGTTGCTTAGCGCTTTTTTTAATTGTTTACATTTTGTGAGTTAACTTAAAAAAAAAAAAACTGAAGGGATGGACTGAAACTAAATTAAAAGAATAATAATAATAAAGACAGTTTTATTTAGATTGATGAATAATCACATCGGATGCTCATCTTTGTTTACTTTTTAAAAAATGAAAAACAATCCTTTAATGTAATTAAATGACATACAACAGCATGAAAATAAATAAAATGGTAGAAAATAGAGCGTCTGTGTGAGCACCGAAAAATGAATAACATAAGTACCATGCATAATGAATCGATGGATTCAAACCAATTTAAAAATTAAACAGGCGAAAACGATAATTTTTTTTTTATTTTTTGTGTTTTTTTGTGAAATGTTTTACATTATAGTCCGTTTTTACTCGTTCAATTTATTCCTTTGTGTTCATTGAAATCAAATGTAATAAACAAAGAAAAAACTAATAAATTTAATGCATGGATAAAATGAATGGCCACGCTTTTTTATGGAGTATGTTGATTGTTGACCGATTGAATCAACAAAATGTATACCAAGTATTTGTATTTTGTGTTCGCTCGTATCAATTCAGCTGAACGTATTTAACAATTAATAGAAGCCAATTGAAAAAGGAGGAACAAACAAAGCAATATGTTTGTTAATGCAAAATATTTTTTTTTTTTGGCGAAATCCATTGTGAGAAATGAAAAACAAATTAAAATGTGCATTTTGTATAAAAAATAGCACACTTTCTGCAGAACCATGGAATCATTTTGGTGCAGACAATCGCCAATTCACGAATTTTTCCCAATAAATATGTCTACTTTGTTATCATAGCAACATTGAACACCGTTTAGATTTTTGAAATTATCATCATTCATTTCGATTTTTGCATTCATTAAAACAACACTGATAAGAGAGAAAAAAAATCTTAAACAAACTATAATGTCGCGCCCGAATCGAAAACTTGTATCTGTATTGCATTATCAATATGTGAGTTGTGAAAATCACTGAGTACTGATCAATTTTATTTTTTATAATCCACGTTTTTTTCTTCTGAATGCCGAATTTTACGTTAATTTTTTAAAAAATAAAATATGAACGAAGACATCTAATTTGACTTATACTTCTCTTTTTTCCACTGATTGGTTTTGAAAGAAGCTGTATAAATGTGTGGGTTGGAATTTTTTTAGTCAAGTGCATTTTGGTATGGTCTCCAAATGTTGGGAACACTAATCAAACTAAGCTAATTTATAAAAAATAATTTATCAAGAAGATGACAAATATTGTAAAGAGATGTGAATGCAATAAAACGACCTTAAACAAAATTGGTGCTTTTTCGTTTTTTATCCTCACATTTTTATTCTTTTTTCATTTAGTAATTTATTACACAGAGTTTTGATGCTTGAAAGAAGTTACTATAATTAGCAATCATGTATATCATACAAACCTTTCACCAAATTGTTGAATATCATTCAGAAACTAAAAAAAATAACAGACCAAATTCAGCCAATTGACAATTGTAGAAGGAAGTGCCAAAAAGGAAACAAAATAAAAATTGAAAGAAAACTCTTTCCATTTTATTCCGTGCAATCAATTTCTTTTATTTTTTGGGCTATAATTAAATACTTTGATGTTATTTTTATGTGTGTTTTTTATTCATTTTAAAAAATGCGGATTACTGAAAACAATGTTACCATGGGATTCCTACTTTTAAATAGAGTTTATATTTTATTTTATCTAAAAAAATAAAACGTGTTGTTTCGATTCATTCTTTTAATTGGGGTGCTTGAATGTGTTGTATATAAAAATAAAAGTTTTTTTTAATTCTCTTTATTTTAATACGGAATGAAGTATAGCTCGTATTCTTTTCGTCGGAATTCTTTGCGATGGAAGAAGTAATAACATTTTTTCAAAAACCACGTTGATGTTAAAAGAATTGATGTGAAATATTTGTTAGGTTGCTATTTCTTGCCCTTGGTGGCTTTTTCGGCGGCTTTGGTGACTTTACCACCTGAAGCGTCCTTGAAGTTGACGGCCTGCGTGGGAGAAAAGAAAAGAATAGAAATAAAATAGATTTGATTAGTTTCATGTTTTTGAACTGTTTTTCTTCTTTTCTCTTTTTTTTTTAATGAAATTTTATTGAAAACCAAAGTAAAATGGCGAAGTAATGACGACTCTTACCTTGATGACACCGACAGCAACAGTTTGTCTCATGTCACGCACAGCGAAACGACCCAAAGGTGGGAATTCTTGGAAGGATTCAACACACAATGGTTTAGTTGGGACAAGGTTGACAATAGCAGCATCACCAGATTTGATGGCTTTTGGATTTTCTTCGGTGGTTTTACCCGAACGACGGTCAACTTTTTCTTTGATTTCAGCGAATTTGCAAGCGATGTGAGCGGTGTGACAATCCAAGACTGGAGTGTAACCGTTCGAGATTTGACCTGGATGGTTAAGGACAATAACTTGAGCGGTAAAGTCAGCAGCACCCTTTGGTGGGTTGGCTTTTGAGTCACCGGCAACGTAACCACGACGCAATTCTTTGACTGAGACGTTCTTAACGTTGAAACCAACATTGTCACCGGGAACAGCTTCTGGCAAAGCTTCGTGGTGCATTTCAACTGATTTTACTTCAGTTGTGATGTTGGCTGGAGCGAAAACAACAACCATACCTAAATAAAACGAAAAAAAAAGTGTCGACGAATTAATTGTTGAGTAATTTAGTTCAGTTTAAAAAAAAATCCAGCTCGTAATCATTTGACGAATTATAAAAATGTTGTAAATTAGCATAAGTTTAGAAAAATAATTACCTGGTTTCAAGACACCAGTTTCAACACGACCGACTGGCACTGTTCCAATACCACCGATCTTGTAAACATCTTGCAATGGCAAACGCAAAGCTTTGTCGGTTGGGCGAGATGGTGGGAGGATGGCGTCCAAAGCTTCAATCAAGCATTTACCATCAGCTTTACCTTCTTTACGTTCGATGGCCCATCCCTTGAACCATGGCATGTTGGTTGATGGTTCCAACATGTTGTCTCCGTGCCATCCTGAGATTGGAACGAAAGCAACAGCGGCTGGGTTGTAACCGATCTTCTTGATGTATGAGGAGACTTCTTTCTTGATTTCCTCATAACGTGATTCGCTGAATGGTGGTTCAGTTGAGTCCATCTTGTTAACACCAACGATCAATTGTTTTACACCCAAGGTGAAAGCAAGAAGTGCGTGTTCACGGGTTTGTCCGTTCTTTGAAATACCAGCTTCGAATTCACCGGTACCAGCAGCAACGATCAAGACAGCGCAATCGGCTTGTGATGTTCCAGTAATCATGTTTTTGATGAAATCACGATGGCCTGGGGCGTCGATGATGGTGACGTAGTACTTGGCTGTTTCGAATTTCCACAAAGCAATATCGATGGTAATACCACGTTCACGTTCGGCCTTAAGTTTGTCCAAAACCCAAGCGTATTTGAAGGAACCTTTACCCATTTCTTGGGCTTCCTTCTCGAATTTTTCAATGGTACGTTTGTCGATACCACCGCATTTGTAGATCAAGTGACCAGTAGTGGTTGATTTTCCAGAGTCGACGTGTCCAATGACGACAATGTTAATATGGACCTTTTCTTTACCCATCGTGAACTATGTTTTGAATCAAAACAAAAAATCGAGAAAAAAAACAAAAGAAAAGAAAAACACTCTGTTAGTTACCTGAACGATTTAGCCTATGAAATATATTGAACTTAATTCAAATTGATTTCTTGATATGAATTCTCAGTGGGTTTTGGTATTTTGATTCTCTACATTGATTTTCAGTAGCAGAACTGGGATGAATATCATCATTAAATTCAATTATGAACAAAAATTTGTTCATAAGCTCGCAAAATCAATTTGAATAAAAAAAAAATCTTACAAATGGAATCACAGAATACTTTGCTCAAGAAACTTATCAAATTGCTAGGAATTGACTATGCACGTGTTAAAACGATGGATTTTTAGGTTAGAAAATTTGGCCACGCAAATGTCGTTGTACAGTGAAGAAATCACGTTAAGAAAAGAAAGGAGGAGAAATGAACAGTGAAAGAAAAATGTGCATCGATTCAATGAAGCAAAACGATGTCACACGTCTATTACTAACACAATCCAGTTAATTTGATTTAAGTCGGCTTTCAGTGGCTGCAGTTCATATATGCAGTCAATTGATTCAATGGCATGACACGAAAAAAAAAGAATTTCAAATAATTTATACGAAAATGTTTCTTCTTGTTTCTTGCGCATTTGCGAAGCGGAACTCAACACACATATGCGCACATACACACACACACATATATGCATGAGATACTTTCTAGAATGTCGGCGGTCAAAATTGATTGCAAATAAAAAATGTGGTGTTACATTCTCACAATGCTGACTCACGGCGATATAGTTTCGGCAAATATCGTTATAATATTTTTCAATTTTTTATTCGTATTTTTTTGTCGACAGCTTGTATAATTAAACGAAGGCAAAATTTCGAATTCCGTTGCGTGGAATATAAAATGTGAAAGAATGGCGTTTAAACAATATGGCGGCTACGTATAGCTATTTCATATGGCAACGTGCTTTGAGTCGCCGAAGCTAACCGTGACGATAGAGATGCAATATACATGATAAAATAAGAGAACCGGTGTTGAAGAATACAACTGTGTATGTGTATATACGTAGATTAGCCACTGGAACAAAGAGATTGTTCAATTTTTGTGTGTCGGCCATTTTGAAAATGAATCAACACTGAGAATATTTTGTGCAACCATATTCTTATTGTGAGGTTAATTTCATATGGTGAAATTGAAATTTAAAATGACTTGCCAACAAATATGGTACAAAAATTACAATAAAAAATTATATTTTTAAATGCGCGCGACGTGTGGCATCAATTGAAATAATATTTTTTTTGCAAACATATAAATTAAAGCCGAATTAATCCGGCCGGCAGCGAAAACCACGTGTCGGTTTCATTGAACACATAACGCTAAATTATTGCCATAAATCCGAAAAAAATTTGCAAACGCCTTCATTTCAATCATGTTGCAATTGATTTCGTTGCAAAAGTGTAAAAAAAACTTTTAGTTTCGCTGATGTTTAATAATTTTTTTTAAGTTCAATGAATCAACTCGTTGCTTTTAATATACACCCATCGATAGTTGCCACGTGCAATTTTTGAACACACTCTCACTAACAAAAAAATTATTTCCGAAAAATTACCGAAAATATCGTAAAAATGCAATAAATTCTGTACAATTGACTAGCAAATGATAAAAATTTAGAAAAAAATCGATCGAAGTTAAATTAGTAATCTTAAGCACTTCTGTGTGAAACCAAAAAAGTTTAAAATATTATCCAATGAGGCACTTACTTAGTAGAATATTTCAAGAGCGAACACAAATTATGTCTATACTCGTGTACTGACCCGAACAAAGTGAAAGAGTCTAGCGAATAAAATTTCCATTGTGGCCTGCGTTGCCACAAACACCGATACACCAACACGCATACACATATAACATCATCCAGTTGCGGTTCTTCCGCTTTTGCATGGAACGGTTGGTAACCGTGCATGAAACAATACTCTTTTTGCCGACTTGTTCGCATGTATTCGCGCTTTAATATGAGTGTAGTTGTAAAAACAGCAAAAAAAAACTTTCATGGAACCATGTTTTTTTTTGCTTTGTTTGAAAGCTAAGAAACAATTGTTGCATTCATCAATTCTATGCTATTGAATACATCGAAATGCATGTTGATTAAATTATTAGGCAATACGAAAGATTTCTAGAAACCAAACCCAACATTTGCATAGCTATTGCGCAAATTAGTCGACTTTAGAAATGTGTTTATCTTGCAAAAAAGGAAAAAAACACTTCCAAAATGATGGAGAAAACAGCCGATGCGGCTTTTTTCAAATTCAATAAATATTCGTATTTGGAATTGTATACAATATAAAAAGGAAACGGAAAAAAAACTGAAAAATCAATCCATAAGCATTTCAAATGAATTTCATTTTGAGTCATGTTTTCTAGAAGTAAAACTGTTGATTCAATTTAATTTGTGTGAATTGAGTTTGTTGGTATATTTATAGATATAGAATGTGGTTCATGTATTTTTTGTACATGACTGGTATTCATCTATGTCACACACACAATCACAATTACCTTTGAAAGGGTACCTAACTTGAAAAAAATTAAAAAAAAAAATTATTAATAATCTCGAACCTCAATCAACATTCTTCTCCATGAGCTCACACATATACAAATTTAGAAGAGTCGATTTTTTTCATTTCACTGTTTTTTTATGGGCTGCGCATTTTCAAGCGAATTCGCATGAGAGCGCCACTAATCAATATGAATAGCAAAGCATTTTGCTTAACGTTGTGACAGCGCTGTCAAAGGTCCAATTAATAAAACGATTGAATTGTTATGTTTACGTATGTCGTATAATCAGAAATTTTAGTATATTTTCAATCGATTTTCTTGGTGTTTTCGACCAAAATATTAAACAAAAAAATTGTGTTGCATCTGCATAGATTATTCGCACCTTGAAATAACTGAGCAAAATTCATTTAATTTGGCTCTAAACGACGCGCAACTAAATAACGCAATAACAATGTCGAATCCAGAAGTAACCCAAGTGATGTCTTTGCCTTTACCACCGGCACAATATTTCAATTTATACACGGATGAGAATATTCGAAAGAATCGGGTGCCAAAACCACCGCCACCAATATTGGACACATATCAAATGTTTGGCAATACATTTAACAACGAAGAAATGATCCGGTCACTTGAGTCACAAGGCATTCGCCGTCTGATACCACAACATTTTGATCGACGCAAAGAATTGAAGAAACTAAATCATTCGCTATTTGCAAACTTTTTGGATTTAATTGATTTGCTCATTCATTATCCGGATAGTCCGAAGCGTACGGAGAAAATTGAAGATTTAAGCCTGCTATTTGTCCATATACATCATTTGCTAAATGAATTTCGGCCGCATCAAGCACGTGAAACATTACGCGTTCTCATGGAAGTACAAAAGCGAAAGCGAATCGAAACGGCACGACGCTTTCAAAAACATTTGGAAAAGGTTCGAGAATTGGTTCGCAATGCATTCGCACAGTTACCCGATATTACAGAAACCGAATGCAAAATAGCCGACATTATAGCTGGTATCAATGAACCACCACCACCAAGTACCAACGAAACAACTGCTGAACACTGCGATCCCATGGATAGATTAATGTGTGACATTGTTGATAACATGTAGAGATTCATCAAATATTATTGTAATACACACAAATTATTGTGAAAATTGAACATTTCTCTTTTTTTTACTCATATTAGCTAATAAATAAATGCGTTTTTAATAAAACAAAAAATATATCGAGATTTAGACTAAATCAATAAACGGGTTGTTCCAAAATAATAAAAAAATATCAAAATATTCTGAATGAATTGTATATTCAGCGCATACTGAATCAAATTAGAGAACGGCAAACATGATGAATTTTACTACTTGGGAAATTCACTACCAAAAATACGATGAGTCTGATACATTAACATGAATAATGTTTAACACTTCCATTTTTCACATTTTTGTCGCATCATTACGTAGATAATGAAGAAAAAATAATTGAAATAAGTTAGAATAAACAATGGATTTCAATTAATATTGACCCATACAAACAAAAATAGTTTTTATTCTATTAATTAAAGGATGATTTATTTTTAAATATACATTTTTCTCGAGCATTTCATTGTCTATTCTAGTCTATGCTGCTGCTTGATTTTCCTATTGCAACTAATTTTTGTCGTTGTGGTGCCTCATTCGCTACACTTAGATTTTGCCACCTAGATGGTGGCCATACAATATATGTCGCACGGGCTGTCATTAATCCTAATGATACTGGACCAAATGTGTTACTATCTAACGAATGACCCGTATGATCTCCTTCAACCCAACAATGTCCGGGCGGAACTTTAACGTATGGTTTTTTATAGCCAATTGTTGGTACAATGTCACCTGGTAGAGTAGCATCGAGAGAAAAAGGGAGTAAATTAGATTAAAATTGAAATCGTTTCGATTTGTTTGAACAAACGATGGAAATGATGGAAAAATCTAAATACCTTGCAATCCAACGATTCGTTTAATAAGCTTTTGACTGGGATCTTTTGGTGAGGTCAAGGATATAATATCACCACGTTGAACGCTATGTACGTCTTTTAGAGCCCATTTTGACAAAAATACATAGTCTTCCGATTCTTCTGTTTTTGGATTCAAAGCCGGTTGCATTGATGTACCTTATGAAATTTATATATAAAAAAACTTGTTACATTTTCGATAACCATCCATTTGTGAAAATTTTCTTACCATCTACACGAGCAATGTATCCAACGGTATCAACGAATGTTATGACAATGGGAACGGTCACTACGACCGATTTTATGACGTGAAACATGTTTCCAAAACAACAACTAAGTCTATTTAAATCAACTCTAATTCATTGTTCTGGAATTTATTTTACATGTACATAATTTGAGGTTATATCATATTTTGATAATGTGTCAATTTGGTTGTCACTTTGTTTACGGTAAAGCTAAGGAAATAGTTGCATCGACTTGGCATTCTTTTTCAATTTTATGCATAAAGTTGCACAAGAATTATTAAGAGTTCAACTGCTGCAATGGATGTTACAACTAACAGTAAGTGGAAAAGTGATGCATCATAATTGTTTTGTATGCTCAGAAGGAAGAAAACGTGCTCACCAGTACAATTAACCTAAATGGATTATTATCATTTTTTTCCATAGATATCAAAGAAATTTTGGATGAATTTGACGATGTCATTGAGAAAACTGCATTTTTTTCGATTGACTCCGAATTTACCGGTTTACTTAATGAACGAACCGTGCCATTCGCCACACCATCCGAATTTTACAAAAAGTTGCACACCGGAACCGATGACTATATTATAGTTCAGCTTGGAATTACGGCATTTTATGTTAGCGACGGTAAAATGACACAAAGTTTATGAGGGAATTTTTTTTTGAATGACACATAAAAATGATTTCTCATTTCATAGACGATCCAGATACTTTTAATTACAAAAGTTATAATTTCTACGTGTATCCACAAAGTCGTGATCAAGTATTCAAATGTTCTGGTTCAAATCTCACATTTTTGGCCGGACATAATTTTGATTTCAATAAATTGTTCCGCGAAGGTGTATCCTGTTGTACGCAAGATGTTGCAACACAATTGCGCGCCAAATATGACGAAAGACAAAAAAGTCGCGAAGAAGCGCTCGAAGTTCGGGATGAAAGACCATCCAATTGCGATGAAGTACCAGTTCCACATGAAGAAATCGATAAGCTAGCTGAAGTCAAGTAATTGATTTATCCGCTTTATATAGTTTCATTTTATTTTTTTATGTATGATTTTTTTCTTGCACCGAAAAAGGAAAGGAATTCAGAAATTTTTGGAAAGTGACGAAAAAAAGGGCGAGAAAAAGATTACATTGGGCAATCTGAATGCTTTCCAACGCAAATTGATTTATCAAGTGATTCAGAAAGATTTCGATGACAAGGTAACAGCCACCAGTCAAACGATGAATAACCAAAAAGTCATTGTCATTGAACGAAAATGGTCGACGGAACGTCAGCAACAAGAAGTCAAAGAACAAAATGAATTTGATGAAAATGAATACCGAAAATTGGTCGGTCTTTCGACTGTGCTATTGAAAATTTCACAATCTGTAAGTTATTTGGACTTAGTTAAAATCACACCATCCATGCTATGAATTTATACGATTTTTGACATTTTCATTGCGTGGTATGTTTTGTTAAACTTGTAGAAAAATAAAAACAAATTGAATTTTTTTTTATAGAAAAAACCGATTGTTGGTCATAACATGTTCATGGATCTATTTTACTTGATTCGTCAGTTCTTCGAACCGTTAGCAGGAACATTGAAATCATTCAAGAAACAAGCACACAAAATTTTCCCCAAGTGAATATCACAACATGTAAATTTATGTTTCTTCATTTAACCATGAGATTTTTGTTTCATTTCTATAGCATTTTCGACACAAAGCACATTTGCAATCAAAAATTCCGCGTTGAAATTCCAAATTCGACATTGAAAAATCTATACGACTCAATTGCACAGGCTCCATTTAAACTACCGAAAATCGGTAAGTATCACATTTTTTACTGTGACTATTTCATAAAATGATAATTGCTACATTAAAAAAAAATCTCCATATAAACATCCAAAGAGCCCGCATCAGCCGAATATGCATACAACAAAACGAAAGAGCACGAGGCCGGTTATGATTCGTATATGACTGGTGTATGTTTCATTGCTTTGGCCAAAAAGTTGAATGTGAAAAATACCGAATTCTCAGCCAAAGCCACACAACTGCGTCATTTGGTCAACAAGTAAGTGTAAAATCGATGGCATTTGTTCCAATCAATTTCATCACAACTAATTTACATTTTTTTGACAGAATATTTGTAATGAGACTTACCGACATTTTCTTCATTGATTTGACTGGTGCCGAACGTAAGTCACGGTGCTGACACTCTAATTTAATCGATTCGATTTTTTATTGTTGCATTTTGTTGATGTCTGTGATTTATTTTTGTTAAGCTACCGAATAAAAATATGATCAGAGAATTTTTTCATAAATAGAACAAAAGAAAATGTTAATATATTGTCTTTTCTTTCATATGTTTAGCGACACCAAATCGTGATCATGTATTTCATGTAATATTCCCCGAAAGTTGGACCCAAACCGATCTCATAAATCATTTTCGCAAATATGGGCCGGTGTTCATTCGTTGGATCGACAGCACAAGCGCATTTGTATCATTGAAGCATCAAGAAAATGCATCGATTGTTCTGAATACGATTGAAAAACCAAAAGGCGTTAAGGTGTCGCCATTTTCAACGTATGTCCGACTTACTGGCGCTGATAATGAAGATGTATGTAATTTTTAATTGGAAAAATATGAATGAAATTTACTTAAATTATAATTTCACACAGAACGACAACGCCGAAGAGGAGGAAGCAGGAGGATCAGCAGCACAAAAGCGGTCATGTTATGTCGATCCAAATGCGCAAAGGTGGAATATTTATTTGGTTGTATTGGCAGTCATTCTGATTATTATCTTTTTCATTTTACCCGATTTCGTGATAATGTACCAATTAGAAGCCGCAAGCTCTTTCAAAACTTCTTAAAAAAAATCACTTCATTGTACAGGCAATTCAATTTAAAAAACAACCAATTCTAGGGTTCATTCAAAATCTCAATCTAAAAAGTATTAATATTATTATTATCATCATCATCATCATTATTATCAAAATCATTGTCGTTATTATTTATTCGTTTCGCATGTGATCAAAATATGTTCGCGATAGTAATTGTGTATTAAAATTTTGTAAAGTAATAATTAATCAATCAAACAACGATCAACAACTGAAGAAAAAAAATTCATTGAACCAGATATCTGTAGTTAGTGTTTTATTTCATCTGATTTATGTTTTGTATTTTCGCTCAACATTGATTCTATTCACAAAATGGAATCAACATTTACAGACCGACGAAAAGAACAAAATTGACGGAGACCAAAACTGAATCTCAACAGACTGAGTTCGTTAAAGAAGATGCATGGCCAGAAGAAAGTTTTTAAGTTTTATTATGGAACTGGAAACTTATATCACTATCACTTGGGTCCATTGAATAAAGTAATAATAATAAATAAATTTCAAATTTAATTTGCGTTTTTATTCATTTATATTTGTTTAAAAATAGAGGTTCCCAAAAAGTGGCTTGGATATATTTTTTCCAAAAAATCAATGGATAAATATCCAATCTCTTTCCATAAAAATATATATATAATATATATAAAAAAAGATGTTGATATATAAACTGCTACTATTGATTAATAGAGGATCAAGTAAACCTTGACAGCAGTACTTTGACTTTAAAATTGGTATTATTAATTGGTAAGTATCACGGTGTTAAACTGTATTGCTTTCGGATTTTTTTCTATTTAAAAAAAAATTCAAATTTATTCATTTGAAATCCTTTATTTTTTACATAGTAGAATATTATTATGGTCCGGATGGCGGAGGCGTGACAAAATCTTTATTTCTTGGCACACACGCTGCAGCACGATCTTTCGGAATGACTTTTTCACCAAGTTCAATAAATGTTGAAAGTGGACAAAAGTGTTGACATCCTGGAATGATTAATGGTATTGCGCCACTTGTGGCACTTTTTCGTAAATACATCTGAACACCAACTTCACCGGATTTCTTATCGCGTACCAATTCAAATATGGCCATAATACCATAGACTGGAAATTGTTTTTCCCACACATTAAAACCCGATAAAACATTCACCACTGACGAATCGTGACCGGTGTATAGTGAAATTTTTAAATCTTTTGGTTTCAATGTACCATCTTGTTTATGTTGAAATTCATTGATCAACTTTTGTATAAATGGTCCAGCTTTCAATTGTTTCAATTCATTGGTGTAAATGTTATAAATGTAACTCAAATCGGTAATATTTTCCAGTTTATCTGGGTAATAGTCTTGTGTCCATTTCGGTAAAGACAAACCATATTCGTGTTCGGCACGAAGTGTACTATATAATGATTGAACATCATCTGGTGTTTTGATTGCCATACCGGTGTATTTTGTAAGCTCTTCGAACAGGTTTGCATTTTCATCGAGCACCTTTTTAACATCGTCTGACGCTAAAACTTCTTCAACGGCTTCATAATATCGGGGGCACGGTGTTCGAACTAGTAATAGCTATTTATATAATTGTGAATTATATATATTTCATCTGAAAAATGTGTCTCATATCAACGTTAAAGGTGTGATAACCTACCGTATCTTGTTCGAGTGGTTCGGAAAAAATGGGAATTGGTTGCCAATTTAGTCGTCGATTCCATTCCATTGCCGTTCCTTGTGGAGGAAATAAAGCAGCCAAGATGACTTGTAATGACATTTGGGCACGTGTAACGCCTGTTGATTGAGCCCAAACTGCCTACAAAATTAATTCGGTTTTCGTGGAAGAGAATTATTTTAAAACATTATTGAGCATACACTGAATTTCATTCATACATCAGGTTGATATGTTGATCCGAGAAAGTTGCCATACCGTGAACGTAACCATTGACCCGTCTCATAAAGATCTTGTTTACCTTTCTACAAAATAGATTTTTGAATCAATTCTATTTCAAAATGTTGTGCACAAAGTATTTATTTCTTCCGGCCGTTTCTTCATTGCTTACGTTTGTTATGTGTCCCCAACCGAATGGTGCAAATGTTTCATTAATATGTGGATCTTTCGGGTATGTATCGGCGGGTGTACGGGGACCATGTCTCATCAACTGCGAATTTAAATAAAAAAAAATTCGTTGAACATTTGAATACTTTTTGTATAAATTGCCACGAATAATAAATCTTCCCACGATTACCCAAGTAGTGTATGTACTGAATAATTTTTCAAAGCATTGTTTATTTGCAATTTTTTTCACATATTTTATCAAATAAAATTAGTCGAGACACTGCACTTATACAAAATGAAAACGCATACATGCGATGCAAAATTACAAAATAATAAACAAGAGATTAATTCGAACGAGTTGTTTTTATTTTATATTTCTGTTCTCTTTTTATTTGAAATTGAAGATTATACCAAAGAACATACCACATTAACCAAAAGAATTTCCTTTGTTTGATCGGCTTGTGATTGACGGTGTTGCTGTGGTGCCAAATCAACCGCACCAAATGCCAAAAATAAACAAAAACAGCCAACCAAAAGCATGATAATGCACGGCCAAATCGCTTGTCGCGTCGTACAGTAATGAGCCATTTCTTGATAAAAGCACTGTATTTATATTGGCTGACCGTTTAAGTTTGCAAGTTACTGATTAACTGTTCTTATTGCTTTTACTGTTGTGAATGTTGTTATTGTTGTTGTGGATGATGGTATTGTTTTTAATAGTTTGATGTATTCCTTCATCCAAATGGATATATATGCAATTTTTACGAAAAATGCAGATAAAAAATTGTGAATATAACATGTTTTGTACAAGCAAATAAATCGTGTGGAGTGCGTTTTTTTATTCTAAAAGCTAGAATCCAAAGATAGTGATAGCTTGATTTATCGCATTGAAATAATCAACAATGAACCGGTAATGAACTTGAACCGATATAATAATATTGAACAAATTTACGCTGTTTATTCTGAACTATATATATATTAGGGTGGGTCAATTTGTAGGGGGCCGAAAAAACCTTCAAGTCCACATCGCGAGCCAGCCAATTTTTCTATCAAGATATTTTCCAAAATACTCAAAAATCGACTTGGACATTGCATTAAAAATTCAAAAAAACATTATTTTTTCTCTTGCCAAATGTGTATGCGGGGGGGGGGGGGGGTTTTACCCCCGCCCCCCCCAAGGGGGGGAGAAAGTTGGAGGGCAGCTGACCCAAAAAAAATCTTTCAACATTCTGAACAACTTTTTAAAACATAATTTTTTGATCCTATGATAAAATCGACATCCACAAAAAAAAAAATTGGCAAAAAAGAAGAAAACGACCATTTTTGCCAGTTTTTGTATGGAAATCAATGGGAGGAAATGACACCAAGTTTTAAAATTGGCACGCTGTTTAGTTTCGATTTGAGTTGTTAAATTACCGTTGGCTCAAAGAGACTTGAAGTCTTCACATCCTTCCATTGATGGAAATCGTATCAAAACGTTATTTTATCGCAAAATAAATGTCAAAAATGGATTCCTCGACCCCAAGAACCCCCGCATACACATTTGGCTAGAGAAAAAATAATGTTTTTCTGAATTTTTAATGCAATGTCTAAGTCGATTCTTGAGTATTTTGGAAAATATCTTCAGAGAAAAATCCGCAGACTCGAAATTCATTTTAGACATATGGTTTCTTGGACAAAAATGCTTGTTAGGACCCATAGAATCAGAATCACGATGAGCACTTGATGCAAAAAAAATTGACCCACCCTATTATATATATTCAAGTCTCTACATCGTTATTATCCTGCGTATCTGTATCTATAATCAATCAGAGAAACAATTTTTTATGACTTTGAAAGCCTGAAAGGATATATATATATATATATATACAAAAGAGATTAAAATTCGCTATAATTTATGCGTCTTGATTCAAAATAATCATGTCTGGTAACATTTGAAAGATAAAAAAAACGGATTAGTCTGTCGGAATCGCATTTAAATTTTATATTTCATTTTGATGACGAAACTTTAAAGTTTTCTGTATAAAAAATGATTAATACGCGACTTTTTTGTGTATTCACAATGAGTAATTAGTTTTTGTGTTACACTACAACTGAGCGCTTGTGATGCACCTAATCATTTATCAAACAATTGAACAAAGTTAGCCGTTTTTTTTAAACATTCTTTTGTGTTTGAATGCACACACCAGACTTTCATAAAAAAAATATCCTTACCACTGATACCAAAAGTAATTCCTTTCCGTCAAGATCGTGTCGTTTGTCGAATATAATTTCGTTGTCATGGGTTAATAAATTGTTTTGGAAATACTTAAGAAACGTAAAATATAAGGCAAATGGAATTGTTATTGACAAAATGGCAATTGTGAATTCGTAGAGCATTTTTGTTGAAATAAAACGGTTTGTAGCGCAAATAAATGTTAACGAATTATCACATAAGTTTACTATCGTAATCGATTAACAACTGACTGAACATTGTGTTAAAACATGATTATCAGTCCATGAACTTCATTTCTGGCAATCGCGTTGTCAAAATATAAACTATAAACGAATATCTTGTTTCAATGTGAAGGCTACAAAACCAAAAACAAAATACAAATGAACAAATAAAAACGAGATACACTAAACACACGCTGATCTAATGTTTTCACAAAGAAGTGTGCAACACACCATAATAATTAAACATTTGCAATTTATTACATACATTTCATCGAATTTTTTAATCTATTTTTCTGGCATGTTTGTATTATAATTGAGACAATTTTTTTACAACAAAACTATTGTTTCGTCACAAATTTGTGATCGAATTGGGGAAGAAAGATGATTGTGTGAGCATGTGCTATCAATGAAAATTGCGTTGAATGTCGACGCTTATCAGTAAATTTGTGTGAAAAAATCGTCATAACACCTATCGTCACTTTTCAAAATGATTTTATTTTGACCGTTTTCGTTTTTCTTATTGTCGAGCAGACTTTGCGCTAAATTTAAACATTGAACATAATTACCAGACACCGTATATGACTTTAATCGTCACACTATCTATCACTGAACCATAAAATGTATTTCGATTTTATGAAGAATATTTGTCAAAACTGGGAAAAATTGATATGCCTTTGAGGTAATGTGCGATTTACCAAGGCACGCTTGACGATTACATGATCTCTATAACGATACTATTGATCTTATATTTGATTTCAAGCAGACTTAAGAAAATAGATAAACAGATAATAATTTGGTATATATAATTTGGTTAATCAGCATACAATTTGTTTACATTTGATGATTAAAAAAAAAACGATTCATTGTTGTTAATGATCTTACGATCGCGATAAAACAAGGAAAAGAATATACGTTTTGTGATAAATTTTTTCGTCTGCCTAGAAAGTACTTTGATAAAAAGTGTGTTCGACTAAATATCTTTTCAAGAAATTATCCGAAAACGTTTGAGTACACTAACGTTCAAAAGTTTGGAATCATTCAATTTTAATTTTTTTGAAAACGAAAACTTAATTTTATAAACGCCAAGATAGTCGGGAATCAAAACCATTGAAGTTTTCCGCAAATTTGCGATGATTCCAAATGACATTTTGAAAGGCAGTTGAATTCAAATTCTTTAAAGTTGTCTCACTTTTTATAACCATGTAAATTGGCAAAAACGAACAAATCTACTCTGTTATTTAAAATGTGAAATTTAAAGAATGAAACACGTTTATCACATTTTCGTTTTACACACTTCTCCATCGTACCAATAACGTATGAAACTAATTGACACCGTCTGCTTTTTTTGCATATCAACTCTAATCTTTAGTCAATTGTTATAGTAGATATCTAAAATCGTACTAAACATCAAGTCACCGCAATTGTATTTCATTTGATTTGATTTTAAAAAAGTGATTGCATTGCAAAAACTGCATTAAAAAAAAAAAAATCTGTGTTAAAATGAATCATGATTACAATGAATATGATAATCTAAATTGAAATCACGTGCAAATTGAATTAATTTGACTGACTTGAAATAAATATCAAATCCGTTAAAAGGTCGTCGCGTTGATTGCTAACATTGCATTTTTGTCTGTTTTTTTTTTCTTTCTTCTTTTGGAAATCTGAAATGTGAATTACTATTATATATTTGCCGCTTTTCGGAATCTCATCGATTAGAGGTTAATCCACAAGAAAGGCATAAATAAAACTAAGCTGAAAAATTCGTTGTCATTTGAATTTATTCCAATAATAATTTGCATACATATTTTTAAGCAGCCCACGAAATGTTCGTGCAAATGATCGTGCAACTATACAATGAAAACTAAAAAGCCCGAACTCTCGATATATTCATTGCGTATTTGTCGTCGTAAAGCTCTGAATTGATAAAATGAGTGACATAAAAACGATCTAGCCTTCCGACATGTGTTTGTTGTGTATCATCAGCGTCGGTGTTGACATAATAACACAAAATACTTAAAAACAATACTATGACAGAGTATGTACGCAATATTCAGTCATTATTTAATTACAAATTTAAAAGAGATTCAAATTTGATGAAATCTTGACAATGAAATCAAAACAGTAATATTTATCAATATTACATATACTTAAAACACACTTTAAATAGCATGTATATCATTACAATTCATTCGATTCTTTTTATCGAAAATGTCCATTTTGAACGAGAAGCAGATACGTTTTTGGCATTGGCATGAAGTTTTATTGCATTTTTATTCTCAGATTGCCACAATTATTCGAGGTTCTTATCAATCTTTATTGCGAGAGACCAAACCGAACAAATTGAGGTCACCTCCAATAATTTTTGGTTGAACTAGTTTGATTTTTGAATCTAGTTCACGTCCAGAAGGAAGATGTAAATTACATTGCGACATTCATACAAGTAAACAACGCTAAATTCAATGAAATGTAAAGTAAAAATGTGCTGAATGCAAAATAACTATTTTTATTGAATTGAATTAAAAAGTTTATATAATTAATTTTAATGCTAAACATTTTTTATGCCAAATTCGTTCATGGTTCGAACAGTGTGTTCCATGGCAATGCCGTTGCGAATGATTTGATAGCAACCAGGTATTGAGAGATCAACAACAGTCGATGCACACCGTTGCTTCATGTCGTTATCCTTGTCGCCTAAGTGTCCACCATCGAATACAACGCTCAGTTCTGGCCACAAATCATTAAATTCGTAAACATCTAAAGTACTACACGCTCCGCTTTTATTTGCACTGGTTAATGCAATCGGTTCAATAAATTTGGTTGAAATCTTTTGAATAAATTCCGAATCGGGAATGCGTAAACCGATTTTCTTAATGCCATTATTCAAAAATGGATTGTTTAAGTACTTTGATTTGTGGAGAATAATTGTAACGGCACCGGGAAGTAAACGGGATAGCAAATCATCGGACAAATGTGATGCTTCACTGTAATGTTTCAGTTGAGATATACTCGATACACAAACCGCAACTGGTTTCTCTTCGTCACGACCTTTTATCTCATATAATTTTTGTATTGCATGCGGATTATTTGCACTGCATGCCAAACCATAAACCGTATCGGTTGGTAATGCAATCACTTCGCCGTGATGCAAAAGATCGGCAGCTACTTCAACAGCATGACTATCGAAGCAATTCATAATTTTCATTGTACCCATTGGCTTGATACAATTCGAAAATTTGACGCTATTCATATTTATATCACTTAATTTTGAATTCATATTTTCTATTGGCAATAAATATCTATTCAAATTGTTAAAAAAACGTTTCATTTTGTTTATCAGGTTTTCTTAATCTGTCTCATAAAAACACAATACATTAAAATGCTTCAATCACGCCAATTATGTGAACACTGTGGATTACAGCATTTGTAAAATGTAGTCATTGGTTCGTCAGCCGACCGAGTTTGCATTTGCATGAAATAGGCACGATTATGATTGCAGGCTGGACAAACGGCATCAGTTGAATCAACGTTTTCCCATGCAGCCGATCCACCCATAACAGCATCCACCTCCTGTAATTAAACAAGAATATGAAATATGCCATTGAAAATTGCGAAAAAATCGAAATTGTTACCTTTAATTTTGGATAATTACGCGATTTAACTATTTGCGTTATGTTGCTGATATAGGGACATGTGCCACAAGAAAATCGTAAACAATTTGCACTTTCTTCGACCAATAATAAATTGCCACAGGTTGGACAAAATAACAACATATTTGTCAACGCTTCACATAAACAATTCTCGTCCAAAATGCATAACTTAATTTCCAAATTTCAAACGTATGCAATTATTTCACAATGTAACACTTAAATTACAAACAAATGGCAAAACATTGTGAAATGCGGCTAAATGTTAACACAACGTGTTTACTTAATGACATTTGATAATCATCCCAATTGATTCGATGTCAACGCCATCTCTTGCATATTTCGTTGTACTAATTTTTGCCTTGCTGACATTTTATTGTACTTGATTTATTTATTGAATTTAAAAATTCCAACGAAATCATGAGAGAAAAAGGATTCGATTTATGTTGAGTGTATTTGTTGGTTTTTTAAAATTAAAAACGTTTATTTTTGCATCGTCAAGCTTAGAGCATTTGATAAAAAGAATAATAATAATTTAAGTACAATGAAGTAAAAAGAAGTCTTTTGATGAAAATTTACAAGACCAGTAGACAATAGACTGCATAGTTGGTATAATAATTTATCTAGAAGAACGTGATTTGGAACGTTTTGTTTTTTTGTTTAGTTTATTTTTTGTGTGTTTGTGTATGATTATTTTTTAGATAAAACAACAACAACATCAACGAGCCAGTAGAATGATTGTCGTAAATCACCTTCACATAAATAAGGTGCTTTCGTCCAAGCTTCAATGCAAAAGCCCATGGTTTCCAATTGATCAAAAAAGCATTTGGCCTCCTGATCAAATGGCAATGAAATTGCTTCCAACCAATGTGGCAACAATGGTTTAATCGGTAAATGAGACGTATTTGTCTCAACATAATGACTGTATGGTAAAACAAGGGCAATCACAGCTCGTCCTTCTGGCGATAGTGCACGATGAATATCTCTTAAGATTTGATGTGGATCGGCACATCGATCTAGCACATTCAGGCAACATACTAAATCAATATTCTCCACTTCATCTAATTTATCAATCACACTGCAATAAAAATAATGCGAAAATATAATTAGAATTAATGTACAGAGAAGAGAATGTTGCCGCAAATGGCAATGGATTTAAAATGATATTTCGTGACTGAATGCACTTACATAAATTTCTTTTCCTGTAGACGTTCACGCATAGTCCAGCTATACTCAGTTGCAAACACTTTCAGGAAAATGTTATTTTTCATGTGCACAATTCCCTTGACTATGCGCATAGTAACTTCACCATCACCAGCACCAATGTCTGTTGTTCGATTGCATAAGGAAAATCAAGAGCAATGTTTAAATTGCATTCATTTCATTGAATATTTCATTGAAACGTTCAAATATGAATAAATAACTACCCAAAATGGAAATTTCATTATTTATGGCCGACAGCCGATTAACGTTAAATCCTCCAAACGTAAGGAGCCGCTTAAATTGTTCTTCTGATAAAATGAACATCGACCCACGACGAAGTAGGCTAAAAGTATGAAATACATTAAATCAAATGATTATATGCCTTTAATGCAACAATGTTTTTATGTCATTAAATATTCTAATTTTGGTGTTAATTTACCCATTAATCGATGTTTGTGTCATAAAAAAGCTGAGGAATGTTCGTGCAAACAAATGCCATAATTGCAACCAAAGATTGCTGGATAATTTTCTGGCTCGATTCAACCAGTGTAAAGTGGTCTCGTCCGGTTGTTCTAATGCCAAAAATTTCTTTTGAAAGCGTTCTGGTAGTCTGGTAGTAAGCGTGTACCACTGCAAAAAAACAACAACAAATGGTAATTAGGTCAAATCTAATGCGTGTCTAAATTATAAATGTGTGTTGGTATACTAACCAATCTCATGTCATATCCCTCCAGATATTGATCATTGTGAATTTTATCGTATAATGTACGTGCTAATGTGCCCCGTGGTCGATAGGTCATTTTTTGGGTGTAAAATATCCAAATATCTAATTGTCGTCTAATTTAGCGTTTTAAATGTGCTATTTTCAAATCTGTTTTATTTTTTTATTCGAACCTTGTGCTTCTTTGACGGAATCTGTTATCACAATCAACAATGACAATTTCGCTGAAAATGCTATCAGCTCATGTCCAGAAACTTAAATAAATATTGTCGATTCACTTTTGTTTTTCCCCATTTAGCCAAAGGCACAACAAAGTATCGAATTCAATTGGTGAAGAAAAAAAATCAAAAAAAAAAAAAAAAAAAATACACACTTTCAATGTATTGGCGATGTAAATTTTTGATTTTTAACTTTGGCTGTGAGAAATGTTACCATTTTTAACTATATTTTATTTAATCATTTTGATAGATTAAAATTTGTTGTAGTCGAAGAGAAGACGGAAAATCGAACTGGTCTGCCTGAAAATTAGACTGATTATGTCAAAATTCGAACACACTTTGGACACCGTTGCCACGGATGTCAACAAACACAATTGTCAAAATATAAAATATACAGCTGTGAACTGTCAACTAATTGAAGATTTTTATTAATTTCAAATAAAAAAAGTTGCTTATAGTTGATTAAGAGGTATTGAGTTTTTCGTGGAATCTTGCACAATAAAATACACACGACGATTGCAATGTGACAATAAAAATGTGAACTTCTTTATTTCATATCAACACAAAAGTCAAAACGTGCTTACGTGAATGATGTTATACGGCCAACTTCATTCGATTGATTCGATGAAGTCTAAATGCATGGCGATCGGCAGTAGTGGAACAGAGATAGAGCAAGAGTTATTCTGATACATTGCGCCATTAATAAATTATCAAGTCATCATTTATATTTTTTTTTTGGTGGTGAACGAAAGGTGGTTGAACATTTTTCGATAAAAATTTGATTTTTAATTGGGAAAAAGATTGAGTGAAAGAGGTTTCCAAACGTTTCAAAATGTTCTCACTTCAAGCATATAATCAAGTGAGTAGTTAAGCATGTGAAAATTTCAACAATTTACATCATCATTTCATCACATATAACCTATATCATGTACAATGATTATCAAAACATTCAAATGCCAGTTAAAATAAAACAAATGCTTCTTGAAATGAACTATTGCGTATTAGTCAAAAATATTTTCAATTCTCTTTTTATCATTATTTTGTTGATAGCAAATTCTATTTCATTTGAGTCAAATCACACCGAGGCGACATACAATTCGAATAAAGGAGTCGAAGCCGGAGAGGAAAACCAATCAAATCAATCAAAATGAGTTCGAACAATTGTGTCAACAGAGTTTATGTGAAGCGGTTAGAAATTTTCAAGCATCGCCGAATACAAAAATATTAGAGCTACCGATTTCCGTGATCATGAAACAAAAACCATTGGCATTGAAACATACAACACAAACCAAAAGTGCAATAAAAAATTTGACGAATTTTGAAAATACCCTACGAATGAGTTATGTGTCAAAGAATTCGTTTCGAGAGAATAAATCTGAACCGATACACGATGTCACAACAGAATCTCTTGCTCAAGCAAGAACCACAACAACCAGTCTCACCAATAATTTTTTACTAGCTTCAAATCTAATGCATCATCTTAGCCAACCGATATCCAACAGAACAATGCAAATTCGTGGCTTTAAGACACAACGAAATATCGAATCACAACTTAAACGAAATCCAACATTTTTAACTCGAATCCAGAAAAGTTTTGGTATGAATAGTTAATGTATTTTTCATTGGAATATGGTTTTAATTGATTGGTGTCTTTTTTTTTCATTTTGTGATTTCAGATCCGTTGTCAAAAGTCGATATCGGAAATACATCACCAAAACAACGTGAAGTTTTAACAAAAATATTAGCAGCAACCGATAACGATGCAACATCTGGTGACAATCAAAAGCAACGTATTAAATTGGCATTTGCAGAGGGCTACTTAGCGGCAAACACTGAAGATAAATTAGGCATTGCTTCAAAACTCGTTAAGGTAAAACGATTTGGACTTTTAGAAAATCAATTAAACATGTTGATCGGAACTGATCGCAAGCGACTTTGTTTTTTGCCCAGATTACCTCACAAATAATCTCATTGGGACTGTTCATAGCAATTTTATACCTTTTATTCTCGGCACAAGGCTCCATATTCAGGTAGATTTATAAAGATGAATATTTACTTTTAAAATGTGAATGCTTTGAATAAGTATGTAATTGGAATCATAATTTATTTTGATCGATTTAGTAGAATGCAGCTTGGCCCACAAATCGAAGTCGATCCAGAGGAAATCAGTGTAAAATTCTCAGGTATATATTAAATATATAGAAATAACTTTGAATCTCTATTTAAAAGTAATTTTTAATTCTCAGATGTGAAGGGTTGTGATGAGGCGAAACAAGAGTTACATGAAATTGTAGAATTTTTGAAAAATCCGTCCAAATTTTCTCAACTTGGCGGTAAATTACCGAAAGGAGTTTTACTGGTCGGTCCTCCAGGTAAAAATAAACGAGAAACAAAGAGAAAGATTCAACATTTTTCAGCTTCACACTTAGTTTAAATTCTCCTCAAAAATTTAATTTTTTTCTGAAAAGGAACTGGCAAAACATTGTTGGCACGTGCTGTAGCCGGTGAAGCTGGAGTTCCATTCTTTCATGCAGCTGGTTCCGAGTTCGATGAAATGTTTGTGGGACAAGGTGCCCGACGTATTCGTGATTTATTCAAAGCGGCCAAAGATCGTGCACCATGCGTAATTTTCGTCGATGAAATTGATTCGGTTGGTGGAAAAAGAACAAATTCCGTTGTACATCCGTATGCCAATCAAACAATCAATCAATTGCTTTCGGAAATGGATGGATTCCATCAAAATGAAGGTGTTATCGTTTTGGGTGCTACAAATCGACGTAATGATCTAGATAAGGCATTGCTACGACCTGGTCGTTTTGACGTTGAGGTATCTGTACCGGTTCCAGATTTCGTGGGACGACAACAAATCATTGCACTCTATCTGAAAAAGGTCTTACACAGAGACGTTGACATTGATCAATTGGCACGTGGCACAACTGGTTTTACGGGAGCAGATCTTGAGAATATGATTAATCAGGCAGCGTTGCGTGCCGCAATTGATGGTGCCGATGTGGTTACGATGAAACATTTTGAAAATGCACGTGACAAAATAATCATGGGACCAGAACGAAAATCACGATTGCCTGATGAAGAAGCCAACGAAATTACCGCTTATCATGAAGCTGGTCATGCGATAGTTGGCTATTATACAAAAGACGCTAGTTCATTGCATAAAGTTACGATTATTCCGCGTGGTCAATCACTTGGTCATACCGCATATTTGCCTAAAAAAGAACATTATCACGTCACGAAATCGCAATTGCTTGCAATGATGGACACAATGATGGGTGGACGTGCTGCAGAGGAGCTAATTTTTGGATCGGAAAAAGTTACGGCCGGCGCTGGTGATGATCTGAAACGGGCTACAAAAATTGCCCACAATATGGTTAAAGATTTGGGAATGTCAGACAAATTTGGACTTCGAACGATTAAAGATCCAGAACCGTATGTCGAATCAGAACTTTTAGGTCCTAATACAACCGAATTGGTAATTATTTGATGAAATTTCGTTTCGTCTGCAACATATGATATTCAATTTAATGTGTTCAATACTTTTTTACAGATCGATGCTGAAATTAAACGTATCATGACCGAAAGCTATGAACGGGCGAAATCAATTCTGAAAACTCACGCAAAAGAACACAAAGCGCTCGCCGAAGCACTTCTCAAATATGAAACACTCGATGCCGAAGACATAAAATCAATTTTGACTGGTGCCAAAAAGGCGACCGATAGCAGTAACTAATTCTTTTCAATCGTCAATGCATAAAATGCAATTCACTTAGCGATATCAATCGAACATATAAATATAATTCTAGTTTTATAGAAGAAAATGCAAAAAAATCAGAATAAAAAAAATACCAAGCCAATGTTTCACTTCATTATTTATTAATTTAACTTCTACTTAATTAGTGTTTATTCTAAATAAAGTAATTTATATATATGTTGAAACTTTGCCATTGCTTTTTCATGGAATTTTCTACTAATTTCTGCGACGTCCAATTTTTTTGTGTGTCGCTATCATTGACGTTTAAGGTTGTTGGTTATAAAGATGAATACTGCAGTTCTAACGTTGACTTTGAGATTTACGTTGTTTCGCCAAACGGGTCGCAAGTTCGTCATCTTCAATCAAATCATCCAATTGGACGTATCTTTTACTGGCACAACCAACGATCGGACAACTGTAATTATAGAATAAAAAAGATCGAATTGAAATTGATTTCAGAACTTTTGGTGCTCTTCCAATTCTTACCGAAAACGTGAATTCCGTTGAATGGACTGTTGAACACTAATCAATCCGTAGATATGATTGCAGTGTCTATTTCGAACCGGACGTTCTAGTTTTTCCTTGGTGATGGGATCGATATCGGGAATTAGTTGTTCGGTCTGAGCTTTATCATCATCGAGAGATATATTGACGCTTTGTGAAAATTGCGAAACATCGGCTCTATCAACATCAACCATTCGCTGTGCCTTTTTCACGAAATCGGTGTAACGTTTCGAGTTTTGTGGCTTGAATTTTGGATGCGATTCATTTCGATGTTCTTCTAAAACCTACATACAATATTACGAATTGTTAAATCTTAAACCAAAATACAACAAGCTGAAACATGTACAAACCTGATCAAATGTTTCAACTGTTGCTTGTTTGGCCGCTTCTTTGACAATATCATGACCAAGTATAAAACCGTGTTCGAGTTTGCACACCGATTTGGCCATTTCCTTGTACTTTTCAACGTCGGCGTCCTCTGAAAAGATTTTACGGTTAATTTTTTTCTTCTTTTTTGTTTATGAAAACTAGCTGTATATACGAACCGGTGTCACCATATTTCAAAGCAAGTCCCATTGTCTTGTGCAAACTTGCAAGGATATTATCACCGTATGCTATGCCACTCATTTTGGATCGTGCTATTCAAATTCTCGATCAAATAAAGAAAATAATTATTGTACACAGTAAACTGGAAATTATTGCAGTTCTAACGTTTCGTGATGTCTCTCGCGCCAAAACGAATTGTGAAGTGACATAAAATTAACTAATTTTCGTAGCTGTCAAATTTGACAGTTGTATATATCAAAACAAATACCTATAAATAACAACGAACACAGTATATAAAAATTCAAAGACAAACATAGTCAACAATACAATCGGAAACCTATCACAAAAGTTTTTTTTGCTACATTTTTTCTAAAATCTAGAAGAAAAAATCCAAACGTTTCTATTTAATAAAGAAATTCATTCGGCATAAGATTTTTCATCAAAATGGATTTCTTTAACGATATATTTGGTAAAAAGCCAACTCTCAAAGGTAAGCTGTAATTAAAACATCGTTTGTCTGGAATTTTACGTTGTTTTCAAGTCGTCATACAGTGTAATGAGTCACCATTTCATGGCAAACCGAGTGATTTGTTTGAAATAAGATTGTGGTATACTTTTCAGAGCAACAACGAGAAAATGATCGAGCACTGAGAAAGGCGGGTCGTGATATTGAACGTGAACGAAGAAAATTAGAAGATGAAGAAAAGAAAATTGTAAATATTTACCATTTAAAATCATTTCGCAATTTCAATGCCGTTGTGAACTAATCACTTCTTTTTACAACAATTTAATTAAATAAAAAAAAAAAACAAAAGGAAGCCGAGATAAAGAAAAGTGCAAAAGAGGGAAACAAAGAAGCATGCACCCTCTTGGCGAAACAATTGATTCAGTTGCGAAAACAAAAAAATCGCACATATTCGGCAAATAGTAAAATTTCCAGCGTTGGCTTCCAAAATAAAGCGATGGGAGCCAATATAGCAATATCGGGCGCGATGGGAACTACATCCAAAACAATGGTAACATATTGAACATTCCATACAACATTTGAATTCACTTAACTTTTTTTTGGCCACGTCAATTTTGTTTCTAGGCGGAGATGAATAAGATAATGCGCCCGGAAAAGATTGGCGCCGATATGAGGGCATTCCAACAGGCAAACATGAAGATGGAAATGACCGACGAAATGAGTATGTTTAAATATTACCGATCCACATTCGGAAAGATATCAATTTTATTGACTTTATTTTAGTAAACGACACATTGGATGATATGTTAGAGGAATCTGGCGATGAAGAAGAAACAAATGGCATTGTTAATAAGGTACTCGATGAGATCGGAATTGAAATTAGCGGAAAAATGCATGATGCTCCAAATGCAGTCAAAGACAGTCTTGGTAATTCGTCCAAACTTACCGAAAAAGACATTGAGGCACAGCTAGCTAAACTACGATCTACATGAATTTTTGTAAAAATAAATGTATATCACATGAAATTTTGAGTATTTTCTAAAAGAAATTATATTTTAAGAACAGGTATTTAAGAAAATAAAATGACAAAAAAATATTGTTTATTATTTTCATTTCCTACAAAAAAAAAATCGAAATCGGCAAATGTGCCAGTCTTTGTATTTGAGCAGCGTTATCAATCATCAAAAATTCGGTTTATTTTTCGTTTTTTTTTATTTTGAATTGAAAATGTGAAGGATCATTCAACAAAATAGACCATGCTTAATATGTATAAACGTCATTTCTGTCATGCGTAGTAGGGTCGAATGCGAATGTATTGGTGGAATATATTTATAGATGTATTTGTGAATCATTCACATATGTATGCAAAGAACTATCATTGAGATATTATTACCAGTAGCTTGTCGAAGTGAACATCGTGAACATCGTGAACATCAGACTATTCTCGGCGCCGAATTGTGTTCTGTGTGTGTCTAAAGTAGAATATGTGTTTATAAAGTGCAATAAAAACATCAGAATTTACAAAAATAAAATTTTAATTCAAATTTTAAACGAAAGGGCAAGAGATCTGAATAAAAAGGCGATTTTTTTGGAAAAATTATTCGAATCGAAACGAGTTTAATAAAATCTACAATCACGAGTTCCAAACGTAGACAAAAATCGAAAGAAATGACTTGGGGTTTCGGTATGTATTCGATGCTGTATTTATCGTTCGGTGCTCTATGGATGTGGCGGCTTTTGAAATACATTATACGCTCGCGTTCAATTGGTAGAACTAAAAAATCGTATGATGTCATATCACCGACCAAATCTGTTTGCATTTGTATTATTAATTTGCCGTCAAATTTTTGGCACACTTTGAAAACTGTGTCGTTAATTTAATCTAATCGTGATTTATTTCAAATTTTGCAGTAACTTGTGGTCCAAATGAGGCGCTCGTCGTTTCAGGTAAGTGTACATTATAATACAAAACAATTTAAACATTTCAATGAAGCTATTTCTGTTATTGTTTGCAATATTCTGCGAAAGAGCGAAAAAGAGGGGTTACGATATCGATTTTTTTTTCTACTGTCGCCAGTATGCGTGCGTTTGTATGTCTGTGTGTTTTCGATTACCGTGTATGGTTCAGCGGTTAAAGAGACAGCGGCAGGATAATAATAATAATGGATGTTGATGTTATTCTAGATTTTATGATATGAAACATGAACTACGCTATCACTAATATTATGTGAGGGTGAGGGTGTCTGTATGAGTATTAGAACACAAAGTTAAACAATGCGTACAGATTTTGCCCAAGTCTCACTTCTATTTTTATTTTCGAAATTTAAAATCGTTGTTTCTGAGGCAAATACCGCGCGCATCAAGTAAATAGAAATATATAATCATTATTACGCACTGAATAAGCATAGACACGAATTAAATAAAAAGAAAGAAATATTGTGGTCAATAATCAACTGGTCGTCCACAATATGTGCGGTGCTTCTTGAATGATTTTATGTCCTGAATGAAAAAAATTAATTATTACTTCTCATAGAAATCATGAAGGCAATACATATACATTAATTTTTTGTATATGTAATGATTCACATCGTACTTATCACACGAATTAATTGCCAACGACATGAAATTGAGAACATGTTTTTTCATGACTATGAGATCATCAAGTGGCGAACACAATATAGTAACTATATTGATTTTGATTGAATTGGCTCCATGGAAATGGCATGCCAAATTATTTCTAAATTTAGCTTAGCTTAATTTGATTGAATTGACTTTACTGTACCCTTCTCTTCCTCTCATTTTTCATTTTCTATCTCTCCGCAGAATGTGACTTGATTAAATATTCTTTTTTTTTTAATTTTTGCATATAAGGTTTAAAATGAAATAATTTCTCTTATAGGATGTTGTTATATGAAACCTTTGCTTGTTCCCGGAGGTCGTGCATTTGTCTGGCCATCCGTTCAACGAGTTCAACGGTATGAGAAAAAAACAGAAACCACAAATGAAAATTTAACAACAAGCTTACTGCAAATGAAATAAATCCCTTAAATTTCCTTCTGTTTCATAGAATTTCTTTGAACACAATGACACTTCAAGTGGAAAGTCCATGCGTGTACACGAGCCAAGGTGTGCCAATTAGCGTAAGTTAATACCAATAATGAAAACATAAAACATTAAAATGATTCTGTAGGAAATAGAATGGGTTTTTTGCATGCTCGCCTCTTTTCTATTAAAAAATGAAATGCTAATTCGTTTAACCTACAGGTCACTGGTATTGCCCAAGTGAAAATTCAAGGTCAAAACGAAGATATGTTATTGACTGCATGCGAACAATTTTTGGGCAAAAATGAAAATGAAATTCAGCATATTGCATTGGTTACGCTGGAAGGTCATCAGCGCGCAATTATGGGTTCAATGACAGTCGAAGAAATTTACAAGGATCGCAAGAAGTTCAGCAAACAAGTGTTTGAAGTGGCATCATCCGATTTGGTTAACATGGGAATCACTGTTGTATCCTATACACTTAAAGATATCCGAGACGAAGAGGTGAGCATTTGCATTGAATTTTTCATATTATCCAAACATTTTGTTCGTTTAGTTCTTTACATTCACCCGAATAGAAATCATTTTAAAAATGCAAATTGGTCAATGCTCATCTATCCATTTTTGACCTTAACTTTCATGTAGATTTTAAATATATTACTTTTTCACTTTAACATATTTCCCTTTCTCTGCATTCAATCATATTTATTTACTCATTTTCAAAAAAAAAAACATTGGCAATTAATTGAAATAAATAGCAGCTTAAAAATTCGACTCAGAACAATGGAAGAAGAGACTGTATAATACAAATTGTATTGACGTCAGTAATTCAAAATGCCCGAACACACAGACAAGAATAGTTGTTGTTTTTTTTATTCTCAATAAAACATCTGGTTGACATATTAATTAACTAGAATCAAAATTTCAATCGACGAACAACACACCAAAAAAAACATCGATGACGATGACAAAAACAATTTTAATTGACAGTAAATTAGTAAAAAAAAATTACTCGCATCTGTATTTATAGAAAATTGCGTTTTTTTAAAACATATGTTTATTATTCTTTAGATAATTTCGTTATCGAGACAATACTGAATAGAATGGATTCACCACACGAATTCATTTAAATTGCTCATTCTCTCTCACAATTAGTTATTAATTTACTTGAACGAATTAGTCATGATTTTTGTATATTTCGATTTTTCTTTATATGATTTTTCTGCATCTCAATGAAAGGGCGCTAAGGTATGTTTTGGTTATATTACAATTTATCGACCATTTTTGATGTTTGTTTTTGTCTTCTTCGGTTATTTGAACGCTCTTATTCAATATATCTTCAGCGTATATATATATATATTCATATTCGAAATGGCATGCACAATACACAGACACACACACACACATTGGTAGATTAGTAGCGTTTGGTATTTAATCTATATTATATGTCAAAGTCCCGATATATCACATAGCGAAGCACCCTTTAGTATTACTAAGTGCGTGAAATTGAAAACCATCGACTGAAACGTTCAACAATATCAAGTGGAAACGGATCAATCAAGGCTATTTGAAATGCTTCATAGAGCAATGATCTTATTTTGTTGCTCTGATTGTATACTTTCAAAGGGAATCGTCAGAAGGAAGTAATCTAGACCCTTTGGACCCTCGTCAGAACTCATGACTTGCATTATCATCAGCATCGCCATTACAAAATCCAACCATTCGCCATTCAATATTTCCGTAGTAGTCAACAATTTGCCATGTTTAATGTCATTACTGTGGCGTGAAACATGCTTTCTGCTTTTTTAATTGCTATAAAATTTGTTTCGTTTTTATGTTGCCTCTTCGCTCATTAGTTTCATTAAACTCATTCATACACTCACATACACACAAAACAAAATCATTCATTTGTTCACCTCTGAAAACAATCACACAGCTTTCGATGAATTTTTTGATTCACTGTGTGTCTTCCAATCTCTGCGAATGCATAACTGATGGTAAAATATGTTTTATTTACATTTTAACAGGGATACTTGAAAAGTTTGGGTATGGCACGTACTGCTGAAGTAAAACGTGATGCTCGTATCGGCGAAGCCGAGGCTCGTTGTGATGCCCAGATCAAAGAGGCCATCGCTGAGGAACAACGTATGGCGGCTCGTTTTTTGAACGACACCGAAATTGCCAAGGCTCAACGTGACTTTGAGCTGAAGAAGGCTGCCTACGATGTTGAGGTGCAAACGAAAAAAGCTGAAGCTGAAATGGCTTACGAACTTCAAGCAGCCAAAACTAAGCAACGCATCAAGGAAGAACAAATGCAAATCAAAGTTGTTGAACGTACTCAAGAAATTGCCGTTCAAGATCAAGAAATGGTAATTGCGATGCCGTCCAAAATATCTCAGCTTCAATATTTCTGTATCTTTCTTTCATTCCATGTAGGTTCGGCGCGAACGTGAACTTGAGGCAACTGTTCATCGTCCAGCGGCTGCTGAAAAATATCGCTTGGAAAAAATTGCCGAAGCCAATAAAAACCGTGTCATTTTGGAGGCCGAAGCTGAAGCTGAATCGGTAAAAAAAGTGTACCATTTGAAATTCAAATGTTTAAAAAAAAACAAATTGTTAAAAATACTATAATTTACATTTAGATTCGAATTCGTGGAGAAGCCGAAGCATTTGCTATTTCAGCCAAAGCCAAAGCTGAAGCCGAACAAATGGCCAAAAAAGCCGAAGCATGGAGAGAATATCGTGAAGCAGCCATGGTTGACATGCTTTTGGATACTTTGCCCAAGGTTTGCTTCAATACATTCAAATGACCATCCATTCAAAATTAAAACGTTGGTTTTACTTTTATTCATAGGTCGCCGCTGAAGTTGCAGCTCCATTGTCACAGGCCAAGAAAATTACAATGGTATCAAGTGGCAGCGGTGAAGTTGGTGCAGCTAAATTGACCGGCGAAGTATTGCAAATCGTCAATAAAGTGCCAGAATTAGTGAAATCCATCACTGGAGGTAAGCATCGTTTTATAGTTATTCTTCTACAAATATGATAATAATGATCGTTATATCTATTGATTTTCAAATCCAATGCTAATCTTTAATTTTTTCGGCATTTTTTTTTTCAGTTGACATCTCACGGGTAGGTCTTTCAAATTCGAAGTACATTTAAGCTAGTGTAAATTCATTCGCGTAAATTACATTTAAAAAAA